CGAACGTTATCACACATGAAATAAAGAAGCGAAATTTTCTCCGATTTATATTAAAAAAGAAAAAAAAAACTCACTCCAGAAAGCTCGACGATCAATCTATATTGCGGATCTGTTTCCAGAGGTTTGCTGACCGGTGGGATTTCTTTCAACTCCAGCTGCTCCTCCATTTTCTTGATCAAATCCTTATAGCTGCAATTTAAAATGTAACCACAAAAAAAGAGCATAAATTATCACTTTAAAAATTTAAAAATAGCAAAAAAAAAGAAACGTACAAGCTAACACTTAAAAAAACCGCTACCATCATTATTTCATGACGATAAATTACTGTGATATTTTATTCATCAGTATAAGTGGCTCTTCATTTATGCAGCTGACAACTTTTCCAGCTAGCAGTGCTACACCGCCTGGTGGTTAGCCTGTCCGCGATTTGACGTTCGAGTATTCAAAGAAAGATAAATTACTATTGAAAAACCAGTTATTTATTATTATTTGTTGAGGAAAAGCGAGAAAAAATCAACAAATCGTTAGCAATGCCTAAAAAATAAGTATGAATCATTAACTGAAGAAAGAAAATTATCAAGTATACAAGCAAATACTGAAGAAAAAAAACATGAATCTACGCAAACTGGGCAGTTAAAGCTGTGCTCACGCACTTGCTAACATGACTTCGAACGATGCTGGTTTTGAGATAATCCAGGCAAGTAGTCCCACAACTTTACTACTTTGAGGCAGCTGTTTTTAGGTATCAGAATCCTTTATCACTAAAAAACTTATAACAAACTGATTGTAACTGAAAACAATGACAGCCAGTAAACTGCACTTCTATCGTATGCAAGTGTGGGTTAACTTTTGCAACTACTATAATGCGGTATAATCGCCATACTGACGAGGTCCAATTGTGGTAACGGTAAGAAATGTATATGACTTAATGGACCGAAACATTTCTTACCAACTACAAATATTTAATACTCTCCTCCCTTTCTTTATTTCTTTCTCTTCTTTTTTCTTCTCGTTTCCTACCTTACCTATAAACATAAAAGAAAGGGGAAAAAGAGAAAAAAATCTATAAAAATCCACATCTTTGCACTTTTTAACCGCCTCAACCTTAAAAAACAAAGGACTATTTGGGAAAAAACAGTCCACAAACTTATTGATATTATTTTGTCGCAAATTAGATGGACTGTAGCACTGTATCTCAAACACCAATTTTACGAAACAACAAAGACAGAGACAGCAGGTATAGAGCAGCATTCAAGTAATTTTAAATGAATATGCGATGGAAGGGTCCCACTGATCAGCAAAATGGGGTTATGTGGATGAGAGAGAGACCCAGAACAGAGAAGAATGGAGAAGTTGCCAGCTGAATCAGCGGCGGGACAGCCAACTAAAGTATATCCTTCTTCTGCTCCGAACTAAACATTTTCTGGCCGTCAGTTATCACTTCATCCGCGCTATCAGTACATCTCGAAATTACCCATGGCTGCGATATCCGAAGCTGTTTTATCTGATGGCTAATCCTACTGCTACGGTTAGTGCCTATTTTCTTACTTTCGTTGTTCGTTCTTTCAGAAGACGATGCTTCTACGGCATCCCCCCCCCCCGCCCCCTGAGTGTTCATTCACCCATAACAATCACTTTGAGCACTTTTCCGTAAAAACAAATCAAAAATATTGAGAAAATAAACAATTAAAATACTAAAAATATTAAAAAACAGCACCTCTGGGTAGTAAAAATTTAAGATAGTAAAAATAATAGATTAAGAGTACCTTTGCGTATTGGATAATTTGGCGACAGAGCCGACCCGATCGTAGAGATTCATATTCGGTAG